TGAAAGTATCTAGGCGACGTTTCGATGAAGTCTCATTCATCATCTTCAGGCTTGTGTCTTCGGCTATATACACACACACACACACACACACACATTTTTACACATATATATCCTCACTAGAAATTTCTCTGGGCAGTCTACAACAATAAAATAAAAATATTAAATAAATATTATTTAAAAAATCATTGTAACTGGGACCCATCAAATGTAGATCCCTTGAAGATGGTGCCCTCCCATGGCATGAAGGGTTTTAAAAATCAACAACGTACATACATAACTTTCTGGCCCACTGTATTCTGCATTAGCTGAAGCTTAAAAAGCTAAATAGAAAATAAAACTAATACAGAACTAATTGTCAGCCATAGACAAAATATTATAGATCCATCCTTCCCTCCCTCTGTCCCTCCCTCCCTCCTTCCTTCCTTCCTTCCCTCCCTCCCTCAGTCAGATTTAGCATATTGTCAAAAGAGCTACTTCTCACAACTCATACCCATCCGTTCACAAAATAAAGGGATTCTCCAGTTCAAGTTAAATATACAGAAGGCAGGAAATGGTAACAGTTGGACCCTAGAATACTGCAACCGTCATAAATATGAATCAGTGAAAAATGTGAAAAATGGTCAGAAGTCACTTTTTTTCAGTGCCGTTGTAACTTTGTAGGGTCACTATACAAACTGTTGTAAGTCGAGGACTACCTGTATACATAATTTGAAAACAAATATTTGATGTGTCAGTTACTTGAACTGCTCTCTCAGTTCCCTCTCTTTCTCTCTCCCTTTTTTTCTCCAAAATTGTTATTTTAAACCAAAAAGAGCTTCAGATGACAATATATTTGAATGAAGAGAGGTCCATCCTCTGTAGCCATCCTCTATAGTTCCGTACAGACACAGTCTCTCTATAGCCCAGCCGCTGTTCCTGGAAAGATTTGCTCAATTATTTTAGAATGTTGAATGGTTTGAATCCTCAAACAGCATTCTATAAAGATAAAGTAATACCTGTAAATTATATGTGTCTTTTTTTTACTTCCAGCCCAGGCTTGTATGATTTAAAACATGCCTTATTATAGGACCACGAGCATCTGAAATATATTAGAAATGTACAGAGCAGAGCAAGTTTATGGAATCATTTGGAACACATGGAAAGATCTGAGAGTAGTACATTCCACAACTGCTCATTTAGGAAGAGATGTGGGGTCAGGTTGTAAAAACATCTAGTTCATTTACCCTTGCTGTTCTAACAAAAAAAAATGTGGGCATCCTTTCAGATGGATCTTGATCCATCCTGGTTTATTTTGGCAGCTGTTGTGTTTAGCGATGTGCTCTTTTACAAGAAACACTGAGCCTTGCTCCCCCAATCAAAATGCCTTGGATCCCTGGGGTTAAAGTTCATGTGCTTCTGTAACTTTGAACTTTTTAGTTTCCCTGCTGACAGCTGCAGAAGGAGAGCTATGTTTACATCGTAGAATTATATGGCCACCAGCAATTCAGAATTTCCATTTCCTCTTGCATTGTTCTGGAATTTGGCGTCCACTATTCCATGTCCTAAAACTTAGCCTAGTGTGCATATTTTCTAGTGCTCTCTTCCAATGTGCTGTTTTGGTTTTTAGTTTTTATGTGTTGACCCTAAATGCTTACTCTGCAAAGATTTGTTTTGTTGAAATCTACCTGTTTATGAGATTTTAATAGTAGATAATTTTCTTATGTTTCATTTTGTGTCCTTACAAGTAAAAACATCTGATTTTTTAAAGGTTTCTTGCTATATTAATTTTGACTATTGGATTCAGACCCCATATGGAACTGTGTTAAGCTATAGCCTAGTGGCGGCTTTCTTCTGTTTGTATATTGTTCTGAGTTTTAGTTTATAATTTAGTAGTCTGTAAAAAATATTTTCTGAAAGCGTGTTCCATGTTAATAATTGCACCAAGAATGTGGGGGATGTATATCATAAATGCTGAATTGTCAGAATGTCTTGGGTTCTTTTTTTTAATTCCCCAGATAGTGTAAGTGGGATTATATGCATTCACATATGTTATCTACTTTAGTGAAAAGAAAAATAAAGGCATTTCCTTTAATTTGTCTTTCCTCCCTTGTCTTATATATCTGTCTCATTATCTCTCTCTCTCTCTCTCTCTCTCTCTCTCTCTCTCTCTCTCTCTCTGTGTGTGTGTGTGTATCTCTCTCTCTCTCTGTCTCTGTCTCTCTCCCTCCCTCCCTCCCTCCCCCCCCTCTCTCACACACACATTCACTCTCACACACACACATAGAAAGCTTTGTTAAAGGATTGTAATAACTGAGATAAGCCAATGACAGGAGTCAAATGTAGTTTTCATTCTTATTGTTACTCTTTTTTCATATGGAGAGAGAGCTCTTGTGGATTGCAAGAGCCTTCTTTTGGAATGATGATTTTAATTTACACAAAGGATACTCCTTCTATTTTACACTCTACTCTTGGAAAGCAAAGAGGATGGTGTGGGAGCCAAGCTGACCTAATAGGCTTGCTGTGGTTTCTTCTCCTTATATGTAGAATTACATATAGTATGAATGCCTGAAGAGCTTTATACAAACACAGAGCCTTGAAATAGAACATTTATTTAGTTATATCTACATAACCAGCCTCCAGAGTTACATGATTATTAAACAAAGACTACTTGGAATCATTTTTGTCCTACTGGCCTCTATCTGGTTTTATTTTCATTGGCACTCTGATTTGCCAGCAGGAAATAATACAAAAGTGATTGTGTTGAATATTTGAGCACAAACAAGGGTCAAAGTACATGACTTTGGCACATGGCTTTATCTTTACATTTACTCTCTAATTTATTTCCTTTGCAGTTGGTTACCTTCATCCTAGTGGCCTTTACACTGCATCCTGTTTCCTTCCTCTCCCACTAGTCAGAGTGTCTGTACTCCTGATTTTGTGTTTGTCAGACTTGTGATGTTTTCAGTTCCCAGATTCATTGCATGAAATATTTCTGATGTTTTGTACCTCCGTTTTTCCCAATTCAAGCTAAAGTAAATGAGGAAACAAGAAAGTGGGTAATAATATAAAAAGATATAAATGTGGATTGGCTGTCTGAATTTTTTTACCCCAAGTCTTATATTAATTTGTTTTCTGAAAATAACTGTATTTTAAAATGTGCAGCAATAATGTTTTCTGAAAATTATATATATGGGAAGTAAGTAAATATCAGTTCACTGATGAACCATAAGCAAATTTTCCTTGAGCATATTATGACAGCTACTTACTTACGTAGAATACTAATCTTATAGTTCATTATCTGATCCATAGGTTTCAGTTATTAACAACTATTTTAATCAGGTTATTTTTAATCATACATTTTTAAACTTATCATTATTAGGGTGGTAGACGTATTAATATAGTAATAGAGGTGCAAATGTAATATCATGTGATTTGTCTTTTAGCATATGCGGCATTAGTTTGTTTTACTTTATAATTGCTCTTTTAAAATTGATAAAATTTCATTGACTAAATAAATACATCCTCCTATTTACGTTTTGAGTATGATGGTGATATTTATTAATGGCATAGCATATTCATACCATATCTTTTATTCAGAAGCAATTAGCCTGTTTTTAAAAGAATATAATGTTGATGGAGGAATAGGGAAGGAAAAAACAGAAACTCAGTCCTGGGAAAGTATGAGAAAGAAGCTCAAAATAACATTGCTTTGAATCTGTTTGGTATAAAATGGAGTGAAAAGAAAATCTGGCAGGCTTTCAAGATTCTGTTGTTATATGTTACAATAATAAACAACTTTCCTATAATCTGTTTCCTGAACTGATCTGCCTTAAAAGGCTGACATTGTTTTTACGACAGCTTCTTCCTATTGCTTTCTATATATTATGCAGTGTATAATCCTGCATGAGGATTAGAATTCTTTGCATATGGGTATGAGTTGATGGGTAGGTGAGGCAAAATCGGCAAGATGGCAGACACAGCAATTGCAGCCTATTCTGAAGATGCAATGTTGACACGTACAAAAGGGTTGCATTGTGATGCCTCATTTGCCATTTGGCCAGTTTTGAAGCTCCCCAAAGGTCACACACACACCAAGAATTCCATGATGTGGCTTTAGGTAAGATTCTTTCTTGGCCACAAGCCCTCAGCCATCAATATAAGACCGTTTCAGAATTAATGTCGTGAAGTTTTCACCAAAGAGTAATGGGTTAGAATCCTTGCTTTGAACAGATGCATTGAAATAATTAAACTTGTATTAATAAGTCCATGTGGTTTCAATAATTCTGTTTAAAACTTAACTAGATTCCAGCTGATGTATGATGTACTTTTAAGACAGTTTATCATGTGAACATCATGTTTCTGATCATGTAGAGATTTTCCAAACTGTGTGAAGATTTGGTAAAGCCTCTGGCATGTGAAAGTGGACTGAATTGGCAAACTTTGTGCAAAAGAGGTTTCTCATTATGTGAAAAGAGCTTTCTAGTCCGGCCTTAATGATGAGTGTACATCTTCAGGTTGTAGCTAAAGTCTGGTTTTAAAAATCACTCTCTGTGCAGGCTTGTTGTTGTGGGGGTGAGGGTAGGGAAAGAGAGGGTAAAAATCCATATATGTTTTTCTGAAGGAAAAGAGAGGTATAAATCTAAGAAGTAAGCAACAAATAACTATTTGCACTAACTAATTATTTGGCTGTATAATACCAAAACTGCTGTAATAGCACATTAATTTTAACAGTTGGATGATTTCCCCCCCTTAGGAATGGGTACATGATATATGGACATTGTGTAAATGTGTACAACACAAATGTTTTTTTTAAGGCTTTGATTGAAATTTCTAGTTCTCTCCCACTCTTCTTTTAAAATAAAAGCACTGCCTATTCCTGTGAAAACATGGTCATTCATGATGAGGTGTCTGTATAGATGAAGCTACTTGTGTATATACTAAACTGTGATAGCTCTCAAATAGCTACATTTCTTGAGTTCACTGATCCACCCTAACTTAAATTAACCCTTTAATCTTAATAGTAACTGAAGCCGGTTTCGGTGCTGATATCGGAATGGAGAAATTCTTCAACATCAAATGCAGAGCTTCTGGCTTGATTCCCAGTGTGGTTGTGCTTGTGGCTACAGTGAGGGCTTTGAAGATGCATGGAGGTGGGCCAAATGTAAGTGTCTCTAACCTCTCAAATAATAGAATAAATCTTCAGAACTTTTTAAACCCCTTATCATTTGAAATAAGTATAAACATTTCAGTTCTGGAAGTGGTTGAAATGACTCCTAGTGCATTGCAAGCCAATTAACAGTCTCTTTCTCTGAATTGTCAAGAGACAATAGTTTTAGAGCTAATTAAAGGAAGGCTCTCTACATGACTTAAGAAGTTTAGGAAATGGAATAAAATCTGCTTGCTATTTTTTTACTTTTCCCCCCCACCCTTGTAGTTCATCCTTCACATTGCAATAACTGGCTCGTGGTCCCACAGTTTGAACCCACTGCTAGTTCCTAAGGCTGTTTCCTACATCCCCTTAATTATTTCTTTATTTAAGCCAGCTATGGGTACATTCCAATCAAAGTTAAGAACCTTGATCTGTTAAATTCATTCGGAGGGAATTATTAACTGTATGGAATTTAAAAATACTCAACTTGACTAAATTGCACCCAATTTCTTTATCTTTTTTTAATTCTGATTGTAGCAATACTTGGAGGCACATATATATTAGAGCTTATATTTTCTGTCTCCCCTCCCAAAATTCTTGTGTCTTCTTTCAGCCTGTCATCCAGGCATGCAGTCTGGCTTTTATCTTTTGATTCCTCACTTTTTTCTTTCATTTAATTTTAATTTCTTGTTTGAGCTTGATCCTTTCCCCCCTCCCCTGTTTCCCAATATTTTTCAAATTTCTGTGCCACTGGATGCTGATATTTAACTACAAATACTAATTGTTCCAAGATTATATGCTAACTACTTTGGTTATAATCCACCATTGGCTTTACATCTACATCTTGTCTCTATTTTTGTTTCTCCTTTAGTAGTACTTTTTTAATTCACTTCTTTATTCTTCATTCCTAAAGCTACTATATCTGAGCTGAAGATGCCAAAGAATTACAGAAAATTCTAACTCTGCTACCTTCTAATGTCTGCCCAGATTTGTCCAACAGCAATCTTTCACGTTAATACTTTAATTTTGTGCTAAAAGTACCACAAGTCTTGGTTTTTACATCCTTATTTTTAACATCTTTCTTCAAATTACTTTTTCTTGATTCTTCCCTCTCCTCTCTGTTGAAAATGTTAACATTTTGCAAATGTGCCCCGTTGCTTCCACATTGGGAAGTGTAAAGTTCATTCAACTTGGTGGCATGCAGCTGTAATATATAATGTTATTCTGGATGCAGCCTTAATCTTTGTACTCTCTTCACCTTTTTGGGTACAGAGGTTTGCAGACTCAGTTAAAAAATATTAATAATTCTATGCCTGACAACCCTGTTGTTTGTATGGGAAATGCATTTCTTTGAGACCTCAAGGAGACTGCACAATTGAATTTTTTTAAAGTGTAGTTTCAACATTTTTTCCACTAAATAAAATATTCAGTTGAAGTAAGAAAAATAACTGACCAACAAATAAGCCAAAACCTAAATGTTTTTTGCTGAACATTTTCAGTTCACTTTCCAAGGATTGGTTTTCTTTTTTTTTTAACTTTACTTTTTTCTTTTTCTCTTTTTGTATTTCCACTGATTACCAGGTGTAGTTTGTTAGATTTATACTTTTTAGTAATTGTTTTTGAGTAATAGGATTATTTAGGATTTGGCAAGAACATGATTTCTTAGTAGAGAACTGGAATTTATTAACTGGATTGACATACTGTAGTAATCTGTTAGGTTGATTTTAAAGGGCTTATGTGATGGGCAAACAGAGTTAGGGAAAAGTCATACTTCGTCATACTTAGGATTAGTCTGTAAATCACAATTCGAAGCTATGGTTTATTATTGTCTTTTCCAAACTCTGGCTTTATGAATGAGCAAATGAAGGAATGTAGTTTGTTCCGTTTGTTTTTGTGCCCACTGAAACTTCTAACCAGTTCACAGAATATAATAAAAAAGCAGAGATTCCTTAACGTTTCCTTCATATGGTTTCTCTTGCTTGCCTATATTGCTTGCCTATATTTTTCTTAAGTTGATTTAATCACATAGGAAATCTGAAGGAAGGATGACTGACATGAATTGGAGCACAGATGGGAAGCAGGGGAGTACTTCTCAAGGCAGAAAGAAAGATCTAAGACTTCCTCCTCCAATTGTTTCTCTTCTTCAAATTCCCATGCAAACATTGGGTTAGAAATCTTTATTTTCTAACACAAAAAATATGGTCAATTATTAAGTATTATAACTTCAAAACATTTTGCTTAAAATTCACTGGAATAGTGAATTTCACTGGATATTTTCAGGTTTAAAAACTAGATTCAGAACTTGAGTCTAGTATTATCTAGTTGCAAAATATAGAGATTTGTTTAGTCAGATATACAATAGTATCAATATAAGAAGGGAAAACACTATTCCAAAATCCCCTGGTAATTAAAATCCTGGTAATTAAAAATATATGTGCAAAGTAGCAATGGTTTTTATATAAATATTCAAATAATTTTTTTGCAGGGTTTCTCCATTCTATAAATCATGAAGATCACCTATTTTAGGTGTTTCTAAATATCTGTCTATTCTTTAATTATTTGTTTGTAATTTCAGGTTATAGCTGGAGTACCTCTTAAGAAAGAATATACGGAAGAGGTGAGAACATTTCCTGTCCCTATTAAAATCCATTTTTAGGAATATTTCCTCCAAATAGCTATAACTAAATGGCTTAATCCAATGTATTGAAAAATCTTTTTCTCCCAATGCCATCCAACTCATCCAATAAGGTTACCTATGGAGGCCCTCCTCATAGTTCCAGAAAGTAAAGTTCACAATCCTTTGGGAATATGTGTTTATTTGTTCAATTATTTTGTTCAGTTACATACTGCAAGCTTCCAACCATAGGCTGACCCAAAGCAGTTAACAAGGAAAAAAAATCAGACCTAATAAAACTCACCCAAAGTAACCATCATATAATTATCAAAAACATCAACAAAAAATCAAAATAATAAGTAGAAAAGTTGTAAAATAAAATTAAATATGCAATTATGCATAAAATGTATACATGCATAAAACACACATCAGCAATAAAAATAGGTAGCAAGTAGGGCTGCCATGAGGTGAAAGGTAACAGATAAAAATATATTTTGAGGGGTTTTTTTCTTTAAAAAGAAGAGGTTTATTGAATAGACATTAGTTTTTCGAGATAGTCCAGAAACTCAGGAATACCAGTAATATTTTTATTGTAAGGCTGCATCAACAGAATCATCATGTGCTAATGTGCCTTTTGCAACTTTTGTATGTATTATTTTTAAGAGGTGATGATATTAGTATGATGATTTATTTAAAACTGTTTTTTCTTATTGTTTTCTTGTAAATTGCTCTGGGTTTCAGTAGGAAGAAGATGGAAAATAAATTTGGTATTTCTGGAATATTTTTAATGGCAAAAAATAACAAAGTCAAAGGTTCTGAATATTGTTGTGGGTTGCTCAAATAATTAGCAGTGAAAGGATCATACTTCTTGTCTTTCAGAAACACACACTCATATTTACATAATCTATTGCTAGTATTTCTCTTCTCTGTTTTCACATGCTATTTTTTTTTCTTCCATTCACATTCCAACATTGATTCTTTTTTTTTTACTTCCCTGGATTCCTGACCTAACTAATTTTTTTTTTTAAAAAAATTTATTGTGAGCACGTGCACATGCACTTTTTACATGGGGCTCCCAAAAATGTTGAAGATAGTGATAGCCTCAAAATGCTCCGAAAATCTCATACAGCAGGTCCACATGACCAGTGATGTGAATTCACTCAAACATCTTGATCAGCCAGTAATAACATTAAAAATATTGTTATGTAGATATCAGTGAATATAATTTCATTTATGTATCAGCCCTAGTGGACTTGAAAGGTTTTCAGTAGAAATTTCATATTCTAGTCCATATTTCAAGTATCCCTCAGCTATGGAAATTAACTGAGTGACTTTGGGTCAGTCATTGCGTCTCAGCCCAATCTACTTCAAACGGTTGCTGCTACAGGAAGAAAATGAATGGAGATCCCTATGTAAGCCACTTGACACTTCTAGAGGGTAGAAAAATATCATCAACATAACGGGAAAGAAAATAATTAATATATAAGATTCAATTCAATTTCCCTTACCTATTTTTTCCTCTTAGCCCATTTTCGTTTGTTTATAGGGAGTTTGACAGGCATTTCTGCAGAAACCATAAAACTGTTTTAAGGTACTTGGACATAAGAATTAATGTAGGTGGACAGAATTCATTGCGCTGATCCATATTGTATATTAAAAACACAGTAATAAAACATTTTTCTGTTAGGAATAAACAAACAGAACAAATGTATATTTGTTGTTGGTTTTCTTTCATTTCCCATACAGAATCTCAAGTTGGTGTCAGATGGTTGCAGCAACTTGCTGAAGCAAATTCAAATTACTCAGCAGTTTGGGGTTCCTGTTGTTCTGGCTCTTAATGTTTTTAGGTAAAATAATTTGTTTTTCCACACCTAAGAAAAAAAAGTGAGATTGTTTTTTATATGAACTAGATGTGAATATTCTATCTTCTATTTTTTCTTCTGAAATCAATTTCTTATTAGTTAACTTTTGTGAGACGTGGGTGGATTATTACCTTTATTGTCAGAGTACAACATGTGTACAATGAGATTGGCTGAGCCCAGGGGTGGGATTCAAATTTTTTAACAACCGGTTCTGTGGGCGTGGCTTAGTTGGTGGGTGTGGCTTGGTGGTCATGTGACTGGCTGGGTGTGGCCAACTCAACATCACTAACTCGAGGCACGCATCTCCTCGCCTGGCTTCTCATGACTGTGGGGATGCTGCAACAGTTGTAAATGTGAAAAACGGTCATAAGTCACTTTTTTCAGTGCCATTGTAACTTTGAATGGTCACTCCACACAAGCAAAGTACCAGCAAAGGAGGGGAAAAATACTCCAAGAAGTTCCAGAGACAAGAAGTCTAGTCCTGCCAAGAATGTAATAAGGGTTAACGGAGAGGCAGTTTCTGTAAGCAACACCAGAATATTTCCTTCCTGCCTTCCTTACAGGATTAGGCCAGTAATTTCTTCTAACAACCGGTTCTCCGAACTGCTTAGAATGTTAACAACCGGTTCTAGCGAATAGGTGTGAACCTGTAGAATCCCACCCCTGGCTGAGCCTCACTTCGTGCACCCCCCCCAACACAACTCACAGTGAGGACAGAAGTCCCTAACCCAGTCCCAATCTTATTACACTATGTGACCTTGTTGCACAACTCAAGTCTATCATACTATGTTGACATGAAGTTATTTTCCGTTCAGAAGTCTGACAGCCCATGGATAGAAACTGTTCTTCAGCCTGTTGGTGTGGCTGGCTATGCTTCTATATCTCCTACCTGATGGTAGGACAGTGAAGAAGTGCTGACTGGGATGTGAGTTGTCCGTAAGAATTTCCCTCACTCTTCTAAGGCAGCGAGCCCTAGTGATGTCATCTAGTGATATCAGGGAACAGCTCACGGTGTTTTGTGCTGTGCTCACCACCCTCTTTAATGTCTTTCTATCCGTGGCTGTCAAGCCAGCATACCACACCATAATGCAATATGTGAGGACGCTTTCTATTGTGGACCGGTAAAAGGAGATCATCAGTCGTTGTTCCACTTTATTTTTTCGCAAGACCCTAAGGAAATGGAGTCTCTATTGGGCCCTTCTGGCCACCTGGGTTGTGTTGATTTTCCAGGTAAGATCTAGACTCCCAGGAATTTAAAGGAGGAAACTCTCTCCACACAGCCCCCCTCGATGTAAAGTGGGGAGGTAGGCTGCCGGTGTTGCCTCATTAAAATATAATTTCAGCATTAAAGAATTATTGGGATATTGATATGAAAGCCAGCAGATGGGCCTAAGTAACAGGTGTGGCATTAGAAGTGATGAAGAAGAAGCAGCCCAAAGGATGTAGAAATAGAGAAATTGAGAAGAACTAAGGCAAAGTAGCAGCTTCGTGACTATTTGGGAGTTATTCAGCCCTCACCATATCACAGACATTCTATGTTGGTTCAAGGTTTTATCCATGAGAAAGTTTTTTGCAAGCATATGTAAAATTCAAAGTTCTAGCCATCTTTGACCATTACAAAGCAGACACTGTAGAATGGGATTTTTGAAGTAAACCTCTTTTCAACTTCCTCTGCTTTCTTGAGACCAATGGCATCCTCAGTTATACCAAAACTCAAGTGCAATGCAGTGACATCATAGAGCAAGTACCACCATTACATTCTTGCATCCCAATGCCTGATGCCAGTAGATAAGGCATGGTATGGTGATGTCATCATGCACATGTTGTGATTTTTAGTTTCTTGCCCTTGCCCTTTCTTTTCCCCTCTCCCTTGCAGACATCCATCCTGAAATTCTTACATTTATTTCAACCGTAATATGAGAAGTGTACTGAAAATGTCATATGTTGATCATCAGTCCTTTCTTTTTTACATTCTTTTTTTCTTAAATTTGTAATTTGTTTAAAGGCCATTTCTGAAAAAGGGACAACCTATCTATTCGAATTATTTGTTTAGAATTTCCCCATGTTTTAAAAAAAACCCAAAGCAGCCTTGTGAAGAGAATGAAAGGATAGGGGCTGCATTCTTCTTCTCCTTCTGCTTTCATTTTTCCTGAAGCTGTTCTTTGCTATTAGTGAATATTTATTAACTATTCAATTTGTAGGAAAAATGGAAGATTTATTTCAAGGTATGCATGCAGAATTTTGTTTTTTGTTTTTGCAAGTCTGCCTCCAACATCATAGACTATGCAATTATCTTGTTCTGACTTTTCTACCAAAAAAAAATGAGACAAGCTGAGCTTCTGCTTGGATTGACTATACAAACTTTTGGACTTCAGACTTGAGTAGATGGTAGCTCTTTCATCCAGCCACCTGTTGAATGCATCTAATCAAATACCAGTTTTACAGGTTCTTTTTGATTATACAGGTGTTGATAATTTTCTAAAGTACAGAATAGTTGTCCAAATGCTTAAGATGCCAAATCTTGCATTGAGACATAGTTCTTATTATTAAGATGATAATATCCTAATAATAATTATTAATAATATCCTAATAATAATTAGGATAATAATATGTGAATATTAATAACACTAACATGGATACAGATTTTTTCTTTTTAAAAGCTGATGAAAATCATGCTGAATTTATTCAGTAATAATAATTTTTTCCAATAAAGTGGAAATTCCAGTAATTCTATTTAAAGCTATATGATACTGGAGGCAAGAAGTCCCACCCTGTATGTAACAATTCAGGTCTTAATTTATGCCAGACATGAGTTATATCCAGTCCTAGGGATAGGTCTATGGGAAAGAAAGTTGAAATTGACCTGAAATGAGTATGTCTGTCTCATAAAGAAGTAACTACAGCAACCGGTCATATAGCAGATATAAGAACAGAAAACACCTTTGTATTAGAGTATATTCTTTCCTAATAAATTTGAATAGCCTTATCACTTCCAACTTTAAACCACTGAATGTAGGTAACAACTTAATTAGGGAGATTGATTAATTGATATCAGCCCAGCCCAACAAGTTAGACCAGATTAAAAAACCAATACCATATAGTTCATAATTACTTTTATTGTAAGTGTTATAGTAACAGAATGTTGCAATTCTGAATGTGCTTCCCTCTTCCTCACTTATGCAGATGAATTCTGCCTATGATCAAAAAATATTATCACAAATGAAATAATCCAGTAAATATTTTGTGGGCAGAATGGACTTTCCTGCTGAGATTAATTTATTCTGTGAGATGGCCCATATTTTCTCACATTATTTTCTTGGCCCAGGTTCAAGATCCTCTTATCTGACCATTGCCTTGCTATCAGCTCTTTCTCCGGTCCTTCAAGACCATTCTTTATTCTCTCTACAGTTATGTATCATTAAGTCAGTGTCAACTCTTAGTGACCATGAAGATAGATTTTTTTTCTCCAGTATGATCTATTCCCTAATCCCTAACCTTCAGGTCTTCCAATGGTGCACCATCTAGAATAGAATAGAATAGAATAGAATAGAATAGAATAGAATAGAATAGAATAGAATAGAATTCTTCATTGACCAAGTGTGGTTGGACACACAAGGAATTTGTCTTGGTGCAAATACTCTCAGTATACATAAAAGAAAAGATGCATTTGTCAAGAATCATAAGGTACAACACTTAATGATAGTCATAAGCGATCAAACCATACTAGGAAACAGTCAATATAGATCATAAGGATACAATAGACAAAGTTACAGTCATACAGTCACAAGTGATGGGTGATGAGTAATGAGAAGATTAACAGTAATCTTCACTGTAACTGAGTCCACTCATGCTGGTCATCCTGGTTTGTTTTTTCCTTCCACATTCCCCATCATTAAAGCCTTCTCCAGAATTAAGGAGAATGACTAATTTTAAATATTTTGTTTACTTCATGCATGCAACCAGTCAAAATAATATTCAAAGCAAACCTTCAATTATATCAAAGAAACCCCTTCAGCATAAAAATATTGGTGTATATTGTACATACTGAAGGCTTTTGCAAAAAGATGATGGAATTCGAACGAGCAGCATGATCTTATTTTTGCTGGCATCTTCTGCTCCCACTTCCTGGAAACCATCTCTTACTTCGAGTCAGGTCTGAATGAGAAGAAGCGGAAGCTGAAGTCAACCTTAAAAGCTCTGCCTGTGATTTAGGATCCATTCGTCCAGGGGCTAATTCTTAGTTAATTAGGAGGAACAGGAAAATTACTAGGAATTGGATGCTCAGAGGTGGAGGATGGGGGAAAGGAAAAAAAAAAGATCAGCTCCTGACCTTTTCAGCAAACCAGTGTCTTTTGCTATGATTAATTTGTAGGTATTGCTAGATATTTGAGCTCATCGTATGTATATAAATTACTTTGCTCTTGCTGGGATTGCTTACTTGTCATGGCATTAAAAATGAAACAGTGCAAAGTTTGTATGCATAAGTATCCAATGACATTTATTAATAGAATTAATTTTTCCAAATCTACTATTGTCATCCTGGAGAACCTTTAAGTGTACAGTCAGTCCTCCATTTACAACAGTACATTTACCGACTATTCGAAGTTACAATAGCACTGATAAAAGTGACTTATTTATGACTGTTTTTCACACTTATGATCATTGCAGCATCCCCAATGGTCAGAGGTGGTATTCAGCAGGTTCTGACCAGTTCTGGAGAACCGGTAATGGAAATTTTGAGTAGTTCGGAGAACCGGCAAATCCCACCTCTGACTGGAGATTTTACAGTATCCTTCCCCTGCCACGCCCACCAAGCCACGCCCACAGAACCAGTAGTAACAAAAATTTGAATCCCACCATGGCCATGTGATTTATATTCGGATGCTTAACAACTGGTTCATATTTATGACGGTCGCAATGTCCTGGGGTCATGTGATCATCTTTTGCGACCTTCTGGCAAGCAAAGTCAATGGGGAAGCCAGATTCTCCTTAACAACCGTGTGACTAATTTAACAGCTCCAGGGATTAACTTAACAAATGTGGCAAGAAAGTTGTAAAATGGGGTAAAACTCACTTAACAGTTTCCTTACTTAGCAACATAAATTCTGGGCTCAATTGTGGCCATAAGTCAAGGAGTACTTGTATGTGCCCGTTTAAAGGGGCCATAGCATATGGAGCTAGTCCAGAAAATGGTTTCTCTCAAGTGGAATAGCAGGCAAAAGCAAGCTATAGGTATATGAGTTACACGCATAAAAATGAAGAAGGCACAACTGCTTGTCTATGTAGCTGGGTTTTGAGTAGACAGGCCCACCCAGAGGCTAAGCAGAGTTTTCCTGCATGGTGAATGGTGCTGACAGCAGCAGAAAGGTCCATCTCCTCTAAAGCACACTGTCCTTCCTCCTCCTCCTCCTCCACTATTCTGCAGGAGTCCATCTGTGATATTACTCTAAGTCTGGGTGGGAGGCTCCAAACCTGAGGTTGCATTGAACCCCCCACATTCCTTAAACCAACCCTGCCTATGATTAATGAATACCATTACAAATGAAATAATCCAAAACTCTTTTGTTGGCAGAACGGACTCGCCTGCTGAGATTAATTTAGTCTGTGAGATAGCCAAACAGTCTGGAGCTTTTGATGCGGTCCCTTGCCGGCACTGGTCAGAGGGGGGCAGAGGAGCTATGGAGTTGGCTGAAGCTGTAAGGAAAGCTGCTAACCAACAGAGCAACTTCAGATATCTGTATGACCTAGAGGTAAGCAAGGATGCAAGAGGCAACACGTGATAATACCTGTAATCATTCAGTCATTATATTTATCAGTACCGTGTGTGTGTCTGTCTGTCTCTGTGTGTGTGTATGCACACGCACACCTTTGAGTCAGGTTTATTCCTTGTGGTTGCCTTGACAAGTCCCTGGAGTTTTCTTGGCAAGCTTTTTCAGAAATGGACTGTTCTATTTTGAGTTCAGAACACTATTTTGAAATTAAAACACTACAATAATGGTTGAAACAGACCACTTCAACTGTAAAACAACTGTTTTGATCTCAAAATGTGGCTTGTCAAATTGGTAACAGCTTGAATTAAAACATTTTGCACTCCCTTTTTCAGTAAATATGTTCAATGTCCCTTTCCACTCTTACAGTATTTAGCTCAAGTGTGTTTCTATTTAGGATAATATTTTGGATAAGCATGAGGTCTTTACCTTCCCCTTCATCCAATTGCCAAAAGTCAAAAGGAAACTTTCATTTTTTTCAACTCCTTCTTTGATAGCAGCAATGTCATTTTTAATATGAGATGTAATGTAAAATATTGTATAATCTTTGTTCAGAAGTTAGGGTGGGGGGTTGCTCTCACAAGGAATAAAATGGGAGGCTGTTGCTTCAAAAAGCCCTGCAAGATCCTACCAGAGCAGTAGAGACTTTTCCACCTGCTCTTTCTAATACAGCCTCCTCAAAAGCATAAACGTTTCTATGCTAAAGATGCATTTAAATGGAGAATTGACCAAAAAAAGAGAAACCACCTCTCTGTTCACATGGGGCTAGAGTACCATCCTTCTTAATCCCAGCCAACAGTTCTTTTTCTCATAAAGGTCTATGTGTGTAAACACACCAACCTCCTCCACATATTTTTAAAATTTGTTCCTGGTGTGATCTATAGTTGACACACTTGTCAACTCCATGGAATTTTGTAACACAATCATCTCGCATATTTTTATTCTAAGATGTGTATAAAGGAGTAAAGAACCCCCTCATGTACTATTTATTTTCTATGTGATAAGTTACTACTTAACAATTCTTATGTCACACTTTCGGCTCCCAGTTCGTATTGTTATCCAGCGCTTGTATGGTAAGACAGCAAAGCTGTATGAGTCTAGGAGAAGCATGTTCAGCTTAGATATTATATCACTTATGTAGCAAATAGAAAAGAGGAATCATTCTTTTCATTCTATGGTTGGTTCATACCTTCTGACATGGATAAATCTAAGTATGACCATCCTTTCTGGGAATTGTAGCATTTTTATCTTTTTGCTGTACTTAGCAAAGTCCCATGAGATTGGCTACAAAGAAATGATTTAGTGTGAACCTTGACTTAGTTTAGGGTTTTTTTTTAAAACAGGGTTCTTGAAAGAGGCTGCATAGGTCTATGAGTATCTAGATAGGAAATAAGGAGATAGGGCATATTGAGACAAGGCCTTATTTATTCAATTTATATTCTGAAGATATGAGGGAAGCTGGATTGTAAGAAAATGGGTATGGTTTCAAAATTGAAGGAAGACACATCAATAATCTGTACTATGCTAATTATTGTGTTTTGATAGCTGAACATGCATATTATTCAGAAATTCTAGAAATGAAAATCAATCAGCATAGTGAAAACATAGGTTTAAATTTAAAACCATATAAGACCAAAGTAATTACAATAAGTACAGATTTAGAATTGACAATGAAGATGTTAAAGGGATAAATAGCAAGGAAACCAATAATCAAAAATACAGTATGTGACTGATTAGCATTTGGAAGGGTAGCGTTGAAAATCTTGAAAAGGATATTGATATGATGATGGGTCTACACCTACAAACATCAGAGTTGTGCATGCAATAGTTTTACCTCTAAGCCTCTATGAAGAAAGCAAAAGTTGAACTTTGAAGAATCGGATCAGAAAAAGTATCAATGCTTTTGAACCTTGGAGCAGACTCCCAAGAATAGTATGGATAATCAAGAAAAAAAGTAGATCAACAAATCAGCCCAGGGTTCTCACTCAAGATACAAATATCCAGACCCAAACTATCCTATTTCAGATACATTATACAAAGTTCTAGCTCTCTTAAGAAGTCCTTAATGTTTTGGAAAGGCGAAAGGAAAACAAACATGAGAAGTGAATGAATTCCGTTACAGAGGAGATGAAAGACATAAAGGACAGGTACAGATTGTCCTGGAGAAAATGTATCTATGTGATTGGTAAAAGTTGACATAAACTTGATGGCAAAACCATTTCTAAAGTTCTGCATTTCCATCAGTTTACTATCAGAATATAGTTTTGAAATTAAGATTTGTAAGAATAGTGATTCTTCCAAAAAGTAATTGTGTTGTCAACAGTCTTCCCAACCCCTTCCCTTCCTCCTCTCAGTTATTCCCCATGGCCTTTTCCTGCTCTTACTCTTCCCACCCCTCCACCTCAAACTTCTCCTGTGATTCAGAACAACTTCATTTAAGACTGGATCTGGAACAAAAGAGATTTTACGTGATAGCTATTATTTGTCTTTCTGAACTATTTCTTTCATGTTCTTAAGCACCAGGTGGGAAGTGGCTGGATATTGCTAGATGGAAATAAATCTTTTTTTTTTTAACCACAGGTGGAGGTGTAGATTCATGTTACAGTTAAACTTTCATAAGCTCTTTATTCCCTGTATTATGAAACCAGATCTGCCTAAGACGGGTGCTTTGAGTGTAAGAATCTCTCTGTGATCCACATGGCTTGTAAAGTAAAAAGAAAAAGATGAAATTACAAACAGATTTATGAAAGGGCAATAGAAAAGTGACAACAAAAAGAAATGAAAGCTGCAAACTGCTGAATCAGCTGCTGTTTTAGCACCAGGCCATTTCAATCCAGAACACCTTGAACTTTGTTCTGTCTTGGCTCAGTGCCTGACAGTAGATGTAAGGAAGATATAAGATGGCTTCACTGAGCCTCTGACAGGGGGCTATTTATTATTTCTCCCAGCCTACATGGAAATGGAAATGCTAATTTCCAAGCTCAAGGCTATTTTACAAAAATGCATGCATGTGTGCGTCTATGTATAGACCATTCTTGTTGCTGTGATACTGTACTACAGATTAATAAAAGAAACATAACCATCAAAAACAGTCAACTTCACTCTAATCAAAGAGTTTTAATTTGAAAGCATCCAGGAAGGTGCTCATCTTATACAATGATTCAGTTGCTATTTTTCACACAAATGTGGCTCCTTGAAGTTCCTTTATGCAGAAAATAATGCTTTATTTCCCCAGCACTTGGAATATTGGGGTTCTATCTTTGGCCCATGTAGAGAAGGAAGGAGGTAAGGAACGAAAGAAAGCATCCATATTTGAGGTGTGTAGAGATGTAATTTCTAATTAACCATGAGATTATAACAGCAAAGATGGATAACCCTCAGCCTTAAGCCTTCATACAGTATGTTTTACATCTGCTCTTTTCTGGACAGCCGATAGAGAAATGCAGTGTGAAAAGCCAAAGAATATATAATCCCATCCACGGTGCAATAAGAAAACAAATACAAATTTAATTAATTAATTAATCTCCTATGACAAATGTTACATCATAGATCCAAAAGAAAGTCATTGGATTGGACAACACAGTTTCTCTTTCTCTTACACTTTGAAATCTTTTCTTTCTATTGAAATAAAGAGAAACTGTAGGCATTTTTTTTAAAAAAAGGTAAATTTGATTAAACTCTGGTAGTGTTATCAGGGGTTACCTATAAGTGTCTCAGCGCTAAGGCTGGACTAAGAATCAGGCAGGTCCTGGTTTTAAAATTGGGATGTGTTTTTGTCGTCAAATAATGAAGGCAATGGTTCTTTGCTGCTGATATTTCTGAAAAGAGCTGATGCTGTTATGGCTTATGGAGCTGTGGAGAAATAAATTCTATGTCTGCCTTCCATGGCTGACAGTTTGAATGAATCTGTTTCAACACAATGCATACATATGGGGAAATGCATGGAAGTTAGATTGCTTTTAACCTATTAGTCTCAGGTCTTATGATTCAGAGTAAACTCAAAAGGGGCTTATTGTTCTATAGAATGAGCATCAGTTTGCATGTAATGGTAATTCCATAATATCATACATCATATGCCATTCGAACATACATTGTTGCACGTTCAAATTTATCTGGAACACTTTCATTGATGAAACAGACTAGATTCAGGACTACAGTACACATAAATCAACAGTACAATCTTTAAAGCCACATCAAGTTTCCTAAATGAGGGGATATAAATTTAGATGAAAGAACACAAAGATATAATTTTTAGAGGGTAACCCTCAAAAATGGGGGCAAGGTAGGAGCTTTTGAAAACTACATGCTATTTAATTTTTCCATATATTATACAATAATTACTTTCACTTATTTAATGAAACAGTACAAAGAAAAATAGGGAAAAAGCAATACAACAAAAATCTGATACACATATTTACATACAATATGTTTATCAAAATGTATTTGTTTATATATATTTTACACAGTATAAAGGATAACCCGAATAAGTGACCTACTGCTATACGCAACTCATTCATACATCACAAGTAATTTTAGATTTACAATCCACTGAGTAATAAGGGCCATACATTTGTCCTTCCAGTGTTGAAGGACTAATGAGAAGGTCATAATTTTTCATGTTATAGTATACAGTTTTTAAAAACTATGGACTTTGGAAAATATTAAAATTTATCTCAAAGTCAAATTAATTTATGTAATGACTTAATAACAGCACTTGAAAAGGAGGCAAAATCCATAGTATAAGCAAAAGGCTCTACTAAAATTATTTGTCATGTATACCTATCAATATGGTGAATTCCAGACCATGTCTAAATGAATGTCAAATCAATTTTTTCTTTTGTTTGCCTTCATTTTCATAATTACTGTGGACTTAAAATACTCTTAGGATGTTATAGAGCTGCAAAAATAATTCATCTGGCACATTCAAATTATGGCAAAAAAACCAACTTCTTAATCCTTAGTTTGTATACTGTTGTGTTTAT